GAAAATATTCATCATTCGAGGCTGAATCCGAATATGTTATTAAAAATGTTCCATGTCTTAACAGTGATTTTTAAACCTGTTTTATCAACTTGGGGTCCGGACGGACCCCAGGTGGGCAACAAGTGATGTGGGCGGATGAGGGTTAAGGTATTTATGGATGATGTTACAGCAAATATATATCACACATTTCTGAGTAAAAATATCACCTTTCTTGATTTATTTATCAGATGACACAAGACCGAGAGAATCTTCGAATAACTTGAACTTTCTGATGGAGAAAAAGGACTGATGTAAGAGTATGAAGTTTTATTCCGATTTCGAACTCACAATTACCAGCCGGTTTTTGCAATTCTTAGTGTTGTCTCTAAGGTTACCTGTGGATCTAAACGATCTGCAATCTAATCGCAGATTGATCGAAATATATCAGAATAAGTTTCGGACATACGCTCAACTTCCTTATATTACATTTTAAAAATGTAAAATAACATTTTCGTTTTTTCTAAGATGTAAAATCAATCTTATTGCGTTTTTGATATGCAGAATGTTAACAAAACGAAAATGTAAGTTGTAATCTCCTAAAAGAAAGAGGCCTTATATTCACCATTATATGAAACCAATCAATAGTGTCAAGTTTTAGTCGATGACTACGTACGCCGTCATCAACGCGTCAGCAACGCGGCGCGTTGCTGAAGATGACGATAAAAGACAAATATCATATTGAGATAGTTCCTAAGCTATTCTGGATTTTATTCACAATTTCACTACAAGTACAGGCGGTTTTTCTCCACCAGGTTTTCTTTGGTCCATCTGTGGTTGAGTGAAGTCGCTCGTTTTTTCCAGTGATATATTTTCAGGATTTGACTTTTTATTATGTGGTAGAACAAAATATTGTTAAATCGTAAGATAGCAAATAATACAAAATAACTGAATAGCCCTTCTATTCTAGGTAAAACTAGTTGTCCCAAGATGCCAGCAACACCGTCCTTGCCTTTTTCTGCCGAACTGTTAACGCCTAACAACCAACTTTCACCATGAGCTAAGAAAAAAGAAAGACATTTGTTTTTTTAAAAAAATGAAAATCAGATTAGTTACCAGTTGCATCTAATCCGGCCAGTTCATCTTCAACCGATACTCGAATATATGAACCAAATAGATTCCACACTAAGTTCATTGGTATTAATATTAATGCTGTACACACAGCAGAAAAAGCTAAATACCAGTAGAAAAACGGTCAAAATCATTCGGTTTTATGATCTTTTTCTCTTACCTACGGATGTTAATATTCCACTTGATTATTCGTTTATTATGCCGACATTTATTTAATGTGAACCGACGCTCTCACATCTCTTCCACGAAATGTATTAATCAAATGTTTACACTATGTTTATGAATGATTCATAGCTATTTGATACCACAACTGAACCGGTCGTCCATAAAACGCACCGTTAACTCCTCCAGCTGGATTCACATCCAGTTGTGTGAATAAACCCGTGCAAAATGCACCTACCATCCCTCCTAATCCATGACAAATGGCAACATCCAGAGTATCATCGACGTTTAAATATTCCTTGAACTGCATTGCCACATAAACACATGCAGCGCCTATTATTCCTATCAAAAGAGCCCATCCTGGCTGTACATAACCAGCAGCGGGTGTAATAGCGACGAGACCTACTACGGGACCAATGCAAGCACCAGTAATTGTAACTGAACCTCGAATAGCATCTAATAGCACCCATGTTACTAAGGCAGATGCCGCAGCTGCATTGGTATTTATCAGCGCTAAGGCAGCTAGACCACTAGAAAAACACAACTTTTAGATCAAGTTACATGTACTCTTTTCGAATCTACTTTTTTCAACTAGACTAGACTCTTTGTTACTTTTGTCAGAACATAACCTTAGTCATTCGAATAAAGAAGCGAAATTAATTCAGTTGAATTTGACTTAAATCATACCCTCGTTTACCTTGCAGCATTAGCTGATCCAGCATTGAAACCATTCCATCCAACCCACAATAAACTTGCACCCAATATACTAAACGGCAAATTATTACCAATATCTTTGGTACCCTGATCTATACGACGACCCAATATTGCCGAAGCAACAAATCCACTTACACCACTCGAAATATGAATCACTGTACCACCGGCAAAATCTATGGTTCCTAGTGATTTTAACCAACCGTCATCAGACTGAAAGTATTCGCTAATTATGTATCTTCACATTCGAGTGTCATCTTTCACATTATTTTTCACTTTCAAGCACACAATAATTTTGAATAATTCCACCAAACCCAATGAGCCAGCGCATCATAACAGGCCGTTGTCCAGATCAATATGGGCTTATTCGATAACAACAACAACATAATTGAAAATAATAATAGCAAAAATTTATTATTTATGATGGATACTCAGATTCCAATCACATATTTACGCAATATAAAAATAATTCAGATAAAAAGCATATATGGGATCAATTTTATTCTACCAACGATACTGCCTGAAAAATGGTATGTTAGATACAAGAAAAATCAAATTACTTATAGCTTACCACTAATGAGTGCCGGAGTGATGGTGGCAAATGCACCTAAAACAGTTCATTTGATAGATTTAGAAGAAAAACAATCGATTATAAAGTGTCAGGATCCTAATTCAAGTATCAGGCAGATTCCGTACCATCGAATAAAAGAATAAGAAAGTGTGTTAGAAAGAGCAATTCAACTTTGTTTTAACAAACAATCTTCGAAAAATATTTAATTTACTTTTATTAAAAAATTAAACTGTATGAGTTGAAAATGGAACATTTTAAGAAACTAATATTTTTCATTTAAATCTCCGTCAGATTTGCACTTTCAATTCAAGTAGGAAGATAGTAAGACTCCACATCAGCTTTGTTATGGCAGTATAAATTAAATTTTTTAATGAGCTATTAAGCAGAAATAATCAAAGGAGTTTAAATACTGACGAAAACAAGATGTTTCAGATGAGTCTTCGAATATATGGAGTAGTCTGACAGATTTTTATTTTATTTGTTTTTAGATTAGGTTTCATTTTGTTCAAACCTTTGTAAAGTTTTACATTCGGTTTTAGTTTTTTCGTGTTCGTTGTAATTTACATTTTTTAGTTGAGCGGTGTTTTATTTTGTAACATTCATCCACCCGGCCCTTTTTCCCATCTGTACAGTCATTAATTTCAATAAAGCCCGCATCGGACTCTCGAGCTATAAGGAGCTGTTCATCTAAAGTTTATTTCAACCATAATGGAATACTACTAATGAGTTTTCTTTTTAGAATAATACGAAAAAAGTCTAAGCGACTTTTCAAAATACATCTTGAAAAATACCATAGTTTTTAACTTATTTGATTTACAATGTAGCTGGTAGATTAGAGTTATTTATAGGTTGTTCTTTCCTTCGTTTCATGGATGAGTGATCTTCATCTGTTTTGAAAAAAAACACACTACAAGATAGAAACAATCCAATACAGCACGAACAGAAACAAGTGATGCGTAGCTTTGTGATCGTGCCTCACGATCAGGTGAAAAACAGTCACTTTATGTTGATAAATTAAATGAAAAATTTTCGTTTCTCACAATGTTGTTTCACATTTAACTCATACAGTTTTATTTTTTTAATAAAAGTAAAAATTGTTTGTTAAAACAAAGTTGAAACTTTACTCTTTCTAATCCACTCTTTCCTATTCCAGTGGATCTTCTTATGACTGAAATATAAGACTGCAAATATCATTGTTTGAAAATCGTCTCAATTTTAAAAATTAGAAAGATATACCTTAGACATCGTCTAGAGAGAAAACTATGCTATAATGAACACTCAATCTTTCTCTGATTTTTTATTTACATTGAAGAAGGAGCAACAGCTTTTTGTCTGATTATTTGTTCTTGTATTTTCACTGTACAGATTGATTATGTAGAGATTAAAAACTGAATATTCTTATCAGAGGTCAAATGCTTTTGTGAAACGGATTATCTCACACTATAGTTGAGAATATAGAATATGGTAATGAGAATGTACAGTAATAGCTTATTTTCTTGATCCTTAAATTCTATTTTCAACTTACTTACATTGATAAGCACAATATGTTAAAAGAGGATAAGTTGGAGAATAATTTGGATTGTATAATTCACCGAATCTTAAAGCTGCCCAACCGAACGAACCAAATCCTTTGCTAACAGGTGGTCCAAAGGCGAATGAAAATCCAACTAAGACCCATTGAAAAATGACGATTCCCATGCATATTATTGATAAAAATAATTGATTCAATACATTTTTTTTGTCAACCATACCGCCGTAAAAAAAGGCTAATGCCGGTGTCA